AGCTTGGAAAGTTTAATAACTTTTTATATTGCTTTTTCCAGAAGGAAAGTATTTACTCATAAAGAAGTGAGAAGATTATTCCAGCCGTCCAAAGGTCTGAACGCGTTATTCTGTCTTAAACAAAGCAAGACGACAAAGCAGGTAACTACTGTAACATTCTCTGCTACCAATGGGTGACTTTTTTATTTTTTGACAGTGACCTGTACAAATATATCCTATTTATTAAAGCTAACTGACAATAAACAAATTATTTTATAGAGAAATAGCCGCGACCAGGAAAGCAAACGTATATTAGCTAGGCATTGTCGACCCCGTTGACTTCATTTTTTCCTGATTGCAATTTCGATTACATACCGTCTTTGATATTATAATCTGAAATAAAATGCTTGCATTAACTATTTGATTTAAAAAAAAGATGAGCTAAAGTGCCAGCATTCGGATTACGAATTTATTTAAGTATGGATGTATTGGTATAAAGTAATTGGTAAAATCATTCTGAAGATAATAAGCACGTGTAGCAATGAAATCCTGAATTTATATCACTCTACCCACAAAATACGCAAAATAATGTTTAACTAAGAAAGTAAAAAACCTATCAAGATTATTATTAATATTATGTATTTCACTTTGTCAATTCCTTAGATATTATTATGGATTTAGTTTAATTTGTTTCATTTTTCATTTAATTTCAGTGCCTCGTAACAACCGTCTACGATGAGATTGGACGCACTCCCAGCAAAGACATCAGATTCGTGTTCGCCAGCGCCCACACCCATGTCAACGTTGTCTTGCGTGTCGAAGTTTGTCGTATAGTCAACTTGCAGGGTTGACATATGATTTGGTTTGAAATGTAATATTTGCTTTGGTTTGTAATATTCTGCATCAAAACGTGTATCAAATAAAGTGCAGCGTATAACGAGTGTTTTATTCATGAAACTTCTGATAAAATGGACTAAAATCCAAGCGTCAACTCTGCACGTCGCTGGTATATTATAATACATGTGTAAATAAGTTGTAATACAGCACTCTATCTGCACACGATGTTTTTATCACAATTTAAATTTTTTGTTCATACCCACCAGTTCTTGAACCTGAAACGACACTTTTTAAGTTATCCTAAAACAAAAAAGTGCCTTGCTTAAGTGATCTATGACAATAAAATAAATGGTTTTAAATTTATCATTAAGTGATGTGCAGGTAGAGCGCTGTGCTAGTACGACCGGTTCAATGTTTGATTGTAAAATTGTATGTGTGGGCAAATATGTAATAAGACGCTTTATTGTGCTTAAAAATACATTATTATTCATATTAAATTGGATATGGATACAAATATTGATTTTAATGAAGTTAATTTTAGAAAAAAATACGTAGCGACTCGTGCATAAAATGTATACAGGAATATTTCATTGAAAGAATCTTTTACCGGAATCTTTTATTGGAAGAAATGACCGAGATATAAATCTACAATAAACGTAATCCAAATTATGACACTTAAGAATTAACGGCAGTATAAAATTGTAAAATGTGCTCAAGTTATTGCAGAATTGCCCACATGTATTAAAACGGGTCTTTCTAGAATTATGAATATGCAGTTATAACGCATGGTAAGAATAAACTTCCTTGGGTTCCCGGTGTTTTGATATACTAGTAGTATGTCTGATCTGTGATAGACCCATAGTTTTATTGCTGGGAGGGGGTAGAAATGTTTTTATTTTCAGACAATCAAACCAGGGGTTGAAGTAATTTTTTCGAAAATGATGTGCTTTTTTAATTAAAGAAGGAAATTTGACTTTTTGCCTTCCTTACAAAGCGAAAATGTTAAATGTTCACAAAGGGAAACAGTAAATTTTGTCAATTTAAATGTATATGTAGGAATGGCATTTATCGCATCCTTTTACACCTTGGAATTTTGAAAAATCCTTATCAAATTCGTTTATCTCGGTACTTGGTACTTTTTTAATTTTAGTTTTCGGCTGGGATCAAGGGGTGATGAGAACAAAAGGCCTGATTAGGTGCCAGTCCTGCACGTGCTGTTGGGTTATTTTACTGAGTGTTTCTTGACCACTGAACACCAGTGACTGTAGAGTTTATTAGCATTTTCTGAGTTATTTTAAGTAAACTTGTTTTTGCATAACCTTTTCAATTTTGTTTACATATTGTTCTTAAAATGACTATGACTGGGATAAGGTTGTAAACTGACCATGTCTTCATGCTGTTCTTGATTCGCACGGCGCGTAAATTTATGTTCACTCAACATTGTGCCACCTAAATTCTATTTTAAGATTTAAAGAGAAGAAAAAATGACGCAAAATATGAGGTACATATCCATTTATCTATAAGAAAAGCACTCATCAAATTTACATTATTAAATAATATTTGACTGGTGTTTCGTGTTGTGTGTGATCATCAGCATGGCGACATAGAGGAAGTAGTGGTGTCATGAGTGTGTACCCGCGTGCGGGGGGAACGCTTACATGATATAGTATGCATTTTGAATTTTCGAAATCGTTACCACCCTTGGATTTGGATAAAAATGTTCCTCGAGAAATTTTGGCTCACACATAAGACAAATACTCCAATGTCAACTTTGAACGATTGCTGTAAAATACTTCACTTCGAATCTTCAACTTTCTCTTTTAACTCTGGGCAAAAATATAAAAAAAAGGAAATTTCATTTTCTTTATTAAAACCAAAACGATTGATCTTGAGCGACACTTTTCAAAATGCATAGAATCTCCCACACATTTAGTTGTAGATAGTTGTATTTAAGATTAATTTATATCTCAAATTGTGCAGTGGTTCTGAAAATTACTTTTTATGTAGAGCCAAAATGTAATGTTCGGATTTTGCATACATCTGTATGGTGTAGTTGTTTGTATTTGTTATAATAAACGTACATAAAAGTTGTAATAGATGATGTGCAAAATGTCACACGTTTATTCTTAACTTTCTTTTCTTCAGCTCGACTTGAACCTAAGGTTTTCAACTCCTAGCTTACCCTTTTCTACTTCTTAGTCTGTCGCCTTACCTACTGAGCCAATGTCTCAGTTCGCGTTCTTTCCTCATTCGTATGATCCTCTTATAGTAGTTTGAATTGCTTATTTGGGTTATTTTTTGCAAAAGGTAATTTGCTAGGACCTAGAAGCGCCAGGAATCGAACTGGGGACCTTCCGTCTCAGAGGCAAGCGCGTTACCTACTCCTCCAAGTGTTCCCACCCACCCTTCCCGGGTAGACTTTCTACTTATAGTAAGCAAAGAAAATTTCTAATAGCACCCCTTTGTAATTCCAAAGTGCCCGAGCCAGGAATCGAACCCCAACCCCAGGCTTTCACTGAGCCATGTAGCCATCAGTAAAAACACTATGACATTTTGTATATTCAATAACTGTTTTATTAAGAGCAATACATATTGCTTTTATGTATTCAAATATTTATAAAACATATATCTGTAAAATATCATCGTCTTCAGTCTTTTTATTACGACAAGTTAAAAAGCGTTTAGTATTTAAAAGAATATCATGATATTATAGTATAATATTATGATGTCTGCATATAAATTCACTTGCAGGTGTAAAAAATATATTCGACTTGACAAATAAACTATTTACCACACTAATGGTCTTGTCTCCATCTCGCTCCAAATGTCAACATCTTTCCCCTTTAAAATATCCTTGATCCGCCATTATTTTTCTCTATATAACAATGACAATTATGAGATTTTTATTAAATGTCAGACGCGTATCGTTAGGAAGACAAAACGGACACACTTTCGTTGTTAAAACCCCCTTTACACTGGACGGCGTCCTTTCTGCGTCCTTTGTGCGACCATGAAACTGACATAGAAAGGAGGAACAAGCATCGCTTTGACTGCAGAATGAATGCTCAATGATCGGCCAGATGTCGGCACGAATTTTTTTTTTACTCTCAAACGGGGCCGTACTACGGGACGCAGAAAGGACGCCGTCCAGTATAGAGGGGGCTTAAGCCCCCCCCCCAAAAAAAGTGTCAAAATACGTAAAAAAACAAATACAGCGTTTACCCAGCTTTTGACAAAATTGAAAGAATAATGAACATTAGATTATAAAAGAAATATGAAATTGAAAAAAAATCCTTTTTAGAAAACAAACTACATGTTCACCTATGAAATCTGGGTTAAAATCCAAGGGACATATCACGATATTTCTCATATTTCCTACATCCATTTTCAATTAGAAAACATACTACATTTACACGAAATCTGGGTTAAAATCCAAGGGACAGATCATGACATTTCTCACATTTCCTACATCCATTTTCAATTTCAAAAATCTTGTAAGAAATGTTTAGCAACCTTCTGAACATAAAATGTTCTAAATACGAGAAAATATCCCTAATTTCTGTATCATCTGGTCAATAGAAGGAAAGATGCTGGTTAAAGAGAATTGCCGAAAACAGTTAAATTTGGAAAATAAAACAATTTTCAATCACATAAATGGTCCCGTCATCTTTACCCAGAACCTGTATTTGTTCAACAGATTAATGACAAAAATATCAGTTATTTTTCATGATAAAACATATTTAACAGTGTAAAAACTACGTTCAGAGATAAGTCAAACACGAAAGTTTCTTTTCCATCATATGAAGGGTATTTACATGTACGAAATCAGCTTTTCAAGAAGGGATATTTCTCAAATCGAATTTTTTCTCAAATGGAAATTTCTTAATTCTACATACTTCACTTTTGACACAAAATAATCGATCTTGATTCGTAAAATGACATCTCTTACTCAACAAGACAGCAAATTTCAAGAGACGATAATCCTTTTTTTCTCATCTTAACATTAAAAGAAAGACACGCAATGAGCGTCAGTCGATACATTCTAGATTTCAGTCAATTTTGAGAATCTGAGACTGAAGAATATACTCACGCTGGTAAAAAGAGAAATTAAAAATTCGACACCGGACTTGTAGAATTTATCAACGATTTCGATAATGTGTCCTTTGGTGATTTAGGTGAAACTCAATATTACAGAATTCTGAATATTATAGAAAAATATTGTGCTTTAAACCGACATAAAATGTGTGTATTTGTGCGTACTTAATTCCCATCTAAACTTGAAGTCACCCCTTGCTGTCTTACTGAAGAATACCACAAATAGTATCATTTACATGTCACGTGTGACAAACTTGACAATAAGATAGTATAGAACATATTTCAATACAATAAAGCAAGTTTTTAACTGATGACCATGCATTCTGATATATCATTACGTTTTAAATATGTTACATTTAATTCGTAAAAGACCTCAAATTCGTAATGTTATATGAAAAAAACACGTAAAAGACACTTTTAGACAGAGCCTTTTCAGATCCGTTCCAAACAGCATTTCGGGCTATCAGCTTGCCCCCTATGTCTTGAAAGGTTGATCTTATAATATGTCGCGCAGAAATCAATATAACTTCAATTTAGCTCAAAGATTTTAATGAAATGAAATATTAAATATTAATTTATGAAATCTTGCCAATATTCGAAATGGAAGTGTATTACTATACCTCCTTAATACTTTAATTATGTTCTTTACTTCGGAAATGGACGTTTGTTACTTTACCTATATCATATTCTATAATTCCACTGCCAGTCGTTCACTACATGTAAATATCAACATGCCAATGGCCAGACTCTCACAAGACATTTCACAGCATTTTCCCCTCCTTGGCCATTTCTCACGGCAAACTTCCACTGCCACTACTATTTTTACCGGTGAAGTTAAAAATACTGAATATGAAGTGCAACTGCATTTTCCTTTGTTTTATGAGACGTGGTGAGATGAAGTGAAGGAGGAAATATATGGTACGTGGGGAAAATGTTGGGAAATTGTCAAAACCACTTTTAAGC